GAGTGACTAGAAATAGAGCCTTGCCGCCCAAAAGAGGAGAAGGTCGCCGGTTCAAAGTCTCATCTGTGACTAAACTCGACGCCTGACACCAGGAGCCCGAAGTGCGTTCTGTGCAATGCGAGTGGTAACCGACGCAAAACGTCCCCCCCCCCCAGGGACCAGCCTCCGTTTCAAAAGACGCGCGTTCCTCAAATGTTGCAGCACATTCTAAGTCTGTTACTGCCACAAATGAAGGCGAAAGACCTTTTTAAAAAACATTCCCTTCCACATGCAGTGACATGAATTTCGTCTAACTACAACGCAGGCAAGCGACGTCGTGGTAAAAGCGAATTAGCCTAAATCAGGGCCCAGCGCGTCCTTCGAAACAGACGTACGAGGCGATCACTGCTCCCAACGCCAGAGAGTCGCAACAATTCAAAACGCTGCCTGGCGAAGGGGGCGGCGACAACACTATCCCCCACCCCCCACCCCCGACTGCAGCATGCTCCCACAGTTACCATGGCAACGGATCAGCTGAATCGAACTGATCAATTCCTCGCGAGTGGCGAAGTGCGAGACGCAATCATCTGACCGCGTTGTCACAAAGCGCGCAAAAAAAGCAAGGAGGAGCGCCAGGTCGTGCAGAACGCAGCGAGATGATGCGGAAGAAGAATTAGCAGATGCGAGATGAGAAAACCCTGGCTCGGCTGCACAAAGCTCTCTAATAAGCGATTCCCGTCTCTCGTGAGGGGTTTTGGTTGCTGGCGGACCCGCAGACTCCGGGTGCCACGCCCTTGCACTTGTACCACCAGCGTCGTCTAAACTAGCCCCCGCGCCCAAGCACCCCGCCATGGGGGCTGAAGTCCCGCGAATTTTTGGCTTTCCTCGTGATAACAAGTGCAAGGGAGTGACCACCTGGAAGCAATTACTGCTACGAAGCTTTGTTCAGTTACCTTGGCAAAAGTTATCTACCGTGTGAGGCCGAAGGGCGGTGGCTTCTATATTCGCCTCGAGAGCTTTCAACGCGGATACTGTGGGCGAAACACAACAATGAGCTGCAGGAGAAGGGCGCCCGGCGGAATGACCTCACTGTTTCCATGGCAACGCAACAGAGACGCCGATTCTTTGCGGCAAGAGCATCGTCCAGCTAGTAAATTGCAGGACACCGGGAGCTGAGCATTTCTGAAAATTTAGCTCGCAATGTACGCGTGACTGCAGTTCAAACGCGCAGAATCCAAACAGCCGAGCGTCTGAGACACCGACAAACGCAACGAAAGTGCCATCCAGTGAGGTCATAACGTCGTCAGTAAAGCAAATGTAACTCACAACTGAAGAAGACACAATTCAGTGTTCAGTTCCTCGCGTTCCCTCCCGGGACCAGCAAAAATTTTAAAAGAAAATCGTCTTGAGCCACCGATTCATTCTTTCGTTTCCATAGAAACCACACGACGCCATCTCTGATATGAGAACAGCGACTGACCCAGGCCGCGGTATAAGGAACCAGCGTTCGAAAGCTACACGAAGCAGTGGATTGTGCCTTCGATCTTGAACAGCAAGCAAACGCACTTTGGACCAGTTGAGGGATTCATTCTGCTTGCTCGGCACACACAAACACGCACGCGAAGAACTTTGGAAGACGCAGCCCGGTGCTCAGAGAGACGTAATTTCTGCCTCTCCGCGTGTGGCCTTCAATTAGACAACTTTGTGGATAACTTACGGAAACTGCGCTAAAAAAAGAAAGAAAGAAAGAGAAAGAAAAAGAAAGTTGTATCTTTTCCGTCATGCGTCTGACAACTGCCGACGTGCAGAATCCGTTCTGCTTCATTTACGCTGGCCGAAGCCCGAAATTTTAAGTTCTTGTTGTTATTAAACCACAGTGGCATGAAGGAGCATGGAGGGCTTTAAGGTAAGGATCCACAGGTCGTCACGACGCAGGTGACCGCTCCGGCCTCTTTGACAATTCCGATTTTCCCACCAGAATGAATCCCTGGGGATGCGTCCACAACAAAAGCATGACGTCACGTGCGGGAGCGGTACGTACAGACACTGACTGTGGCACTCCGGCTAGGCACCTTGTGGGCCGCAGGCCCCGTTGTTTCAGGCGGGCGCGCGATGGCGTCCAGGGAAGTGGCGTGAGGAACAGGTCGCGTCTCGTCCATTTCCCACAGGTTTGTGCTTCGTTGTGACAACTGCAACAATCACCACTGTGTGTCGCCTGAACAAAGTGAGCGGGACATGTAGCACGCATGCGCGAACAAACATTTCTGTCAAGAATCTTCAAAGAAAGTGTTTGATCTACAGTCTACGAGCACAAAAGAAGAGTACTCAAATGGATCTCTAATCAATTCCATTTCCAGATGTCAACTGTTTTACCGAATACGGATGCGATCCAATGGCGGAATTTTATGAAAACGTTTATGGTCTCTGGTGCATCGTAAAAAAGGAAGTTACGCAACTGTCAGCTTCTCCAATAGAGGACCTGGACCACGGGGCAAGCAAGACAGCTCTAAAATGTCACACCTCCCAGCTGGCGTAACGTACGCGTCACGTTACTACACATGACTGAGTGATGTTCGGTGGACGGGGAGGACACCCCGTTCACCGAGCTTCACGCCGCTCACTTGTTCGCGTGCCATTGTTAATTGGAATAGTGCGATGTGCAGTGTTTGCTTGAAAGCGAAACTTCAAAGCAGCGAAAGAAAAGAGACTTTCATCTCACGAAGAAAGGCGACTGTCCGCCTTCACGTCGCAGCTGCAGTGCGACGTCCTTGACGTAACATCTTAAGTCTGTAGGCTTCCGAAACACTTACAACTTCCGGAGAAGCTATCGGGGCAGGGGGCGAGGTGGCCACTTGGTTGTTGTTCTCCGCGTCCCGGGTGTCAGGCGGCGGCGGCGGGCGGGACCTAATGAAGACTCCCCTCTTGCGTTCCGCTGGGGGCTGCGTCGTCAGGGGTCTACAACAACAACAACAACACTGTCGCGTTACTAGGCAAGGGCCGCAAGAGACAGAACAATGCCCCGTTGCTAGGGGCAACTGCTGACAGAAGCCTGCAACGCATGCAAATTACACACTCCCACAAATTCGTTCTGGTGTCAGATTTAGACATCAGCGAGTCCATCTTCAGTGTCGGCGAGTACCGCCCTGCAAGTTCAAGACGCGAGGTCGCCGGGACAGCAGTTCCACAACTCCACTGCCTCCTCGCATTTTGTTGTTTTAATCAGCGCTGCCAAACGACGTCGAAGTCAGCACAAACACCAGAAGCTACTACGGCTTAAAACACGCAGGCGCAGACGCGAGAACGAGTCCGGTAAAACTGAAATAGTTCTGGCCGCGGTGCGAAGAAATTGTTTCGTGCGGAACCACTGCGTTCCATGAATCCGAGGGCAGACGACGTGTCTTTTGTCGCTTGTCAGGCTTTCGCGCCCGCCATGTTGGTTACACTTACCGCTGCTCCACCCTCCTGTCCTCCTCCTCCTCCTCAGTGGTGACGTCACTGGGCGGCGTGAGGTATCCAGTCAACCGGAGACTCCGGGCCCGGAAGGACCCCATCTTAAAGGACTGCTGGAAAGACTGCCTCGCCCGACCAACTGCAGAGAAGACACCTTGTTAAAGGTCACAGTCGCTGCAGTGCTACCAACGTAAGATACTCCGCCGCTCCGACATGCACTATCGTATTTCGTCACAATAGGATCCGCGCGTGTTTGCGCGTAAAAGAATTTTGAAGCTCGTGCCACTGGAGGTCATCCAAGGACCAAACCTTGAGACGTCAGAGTCACTCACACTTGCTAAGCTTGTTGTTGTCCGCCACGCCCTCCTCCGCCGGGGCGGGAGGCGCCGTTAGGTCCTCGAAGTTGATGATGTACAGGCAGATGTCGTCCACCTCACTTTTGATGGGCGCTATCACCTCGCTGCATAGGAACTTCGTACCTGAGGGAGGATAATATTAAAGTGTGTCTCAGAAAAACACGCCGACTCGCCCTAACATGCCACCACACACCCTCAGGGCACGACGGATAAGCCACGAGAATCACGGACCACGGACGCCCCTTCATTTTACACCTCCGAGGCTACCCAAGATTCACACCCTGATTTTACCCACGGAGTGTTCGCCCCTGCCTTGGTCTGACATCACGCACTACTGGCTTTTCTGTGAAGGCCGTGGAGGGAGAACATCCTGCAGACATTTGGACCGGACAAAAAAGGGAACGCACTCCACATCTGTCAGAGCAGGAAGCATCGTGAGACGTGGGCAGGGCATACAACATTTTAGTCAGAAAACATAAGAAAAGGCGCCATGACGTAAACATGAGGACTCGGTACGCAACAATCCAGAAGACAGTCATCTGTGAGCTCTCACAGAATCCTTCCCGTCACGTGCAGAATAATCAGACCGCAGCCTCGTCGCAACTCTTAAAAGGGCCCGGTCATAAGGACACACGGGAATGAAGACCTTGAGAGAGTATTTCATATCGTTCCTAGCCCCCTCGCCCCCTGCATATAAAAAATATATGGTAGTCCTCGAGGACCCAACACGTGTTATGACCGTGTAAACTGACAAGCCGTGATCCTGTGCGCCGGCTTGTTTACATGACGTCATGAGGCGGTAATGACGTCATTCGAGGTATAAGCGTGAGATATATTTTTAGCCGCCGGGCCACGTTTTTGGTGGGGGGAGGGGGCAGAAATAGAGCAGGAAGACCCAGGGATGCTGCGGGCAAGAGGGACACAAGCAACAGCACGCGAAAACTTTAGGCCGGGTGAGTCTCTCTCTCTCTCTCTCTCTCTCTCTCTCTCTCGTAACATTGTTGGGTTCTCGGGAGAAGGCGCAGTGGTCCACGCGGTGTTCATTAAAACTGATAGGTACATTTTAATAATATCCTGTATCACAAGTGGTCACTTGCTTTAAATTCTTCCGACTAAAAGTGAAGAGTGGTTTTCCGAAATTAACTGAGAACCAAGGGGGAAAAGGCTTTAAAGAATCCTTCATGTTAGAAAACGATGCACGGTGTAAAGGTGGGAGAAATTAATGGATTTGTGAATTTCGGGAACGCAGTTGCTGCTGCCCAATTTTTGGAAACAAAATGTTTCGGTCTGCTCCAACGACACTGAGAAAAGTCGACCGAGTAATTCTGAAGTAGCGGACGTGTTACAAGCAGCTCGTATGCGTCTGATGAAACAACAAAACGAGTACATAAAGTAGAATATTAACCAAACTATTCATCCAGTGTTAAATAAACCAAATAATTCTTGAAAACTAACAACAGCATTGCTAACAAGACAATGCCCACAAGTGTAAAAAAAATACATACCTAGCTTAGAAAAACTGAAACATTTTAAGCTATCAAATTCAGATAAAGTAAAACAACATCAGTCCACAGCATAAAATACTAATCACATCACGTGGCGTTCGGTTGATCGGCGAGATTTCAGGTTATCACTGCAGTGATTACGAAGACGAGACAAGTGTCTTCTGGGCAGTTGTGCCTGGCAGACGTTTAGCGATGTATCAGAGGTGCATGCCGCCTCCATCATCAGGGAAAGGACTCAGTAATGTTCTACCAGACTACACGGTGCAATATCACAGCAAAATTAAGGCCAGGTCTTTACATTTAAGCTCTCTGTGATATAAATCCGAGAAACGGTGTTTGAGAGGACTCACCGTCTTTCCTATAGTAAAGTATCTCGAAGTGTTTCTCGACTCCGACGGCCAGCGCCTCCTTGACGACGGAGACGGCTTGCTGCGAGGTGAGGGGGCCGTGGAGGAACTCACAGGCGGCACTTCTCTGCATAACCTCGGCCCGACTGAAGCCAGACATACGGCAGAAACCGTCAGAGCAATAGATGATGTGGCACAGGCCATGCTGAGCGTTCGCCACCAGAAAACTGCGATCTGAAACAAACGACACAATCGAGTTTTCGTGATCGATATCTCCATTTACGTTTGTGGTTCTACGTAACTGAGCCTTGTCAGTGGTTCACTCCCCTACTCTCGCGTAAGACAGGTGCAGGTGCACGTGTGTGTGTGTCATCAGTCCGTCTGTCCGCAGTCCAACAATTAGTGCGTGCGTGCCTCGTGCTGCGGTTGTAATCGTAATAGAGACGAACGTTTCATCGGCACTCTGGAAAAATTACAAGCAGCAACGTTTGAACGAAATTTATGCTGACTTACCGGCGTCAAATTCCGACTTTTCTATTTGCCACCCCCCACCCCCAGACAGCTACCCAATGAGCCGCAGTGCTGCCAACTGCTATGCTGCCGAGACATTTCTGTTTTGCGTGTTTATTCTCGCGAAAGGAGCGTTTCAAGTCGTTCGGCACTGCCTTCGCCTTCGACGTTTGTAGTCGTTTAATTCTCTGAAGCTTTCGTTAACAGAGTTTAACCACGCGGGCCCATCTGTTCTGTTACACCCTTTGGGCTCCTGCCTCTTTTTAAGAGGCCTCTTGATCTATTTGGACACTCGGTGGGACTCCTTGGACGAGGGATCGGCTCGTCGCAAGGCCTCTACAACCTGCACGCATGACAGCACAACAGAGAAAAACGCCGACAAACATCCAGCCCTTGAGTGGGGTTGGAACCCACGGTCCCAGTGTCCAAGCGCACGAGAACCACGCCTCAGACCAGGTTCACTTCCTGAAGGGCCACGGGGCTGCCTGAGAAACCAATGATCTGCTCCCAGGGCCTTGAGAAATCAGCACAAACGTTTCAAGATGTCGTCGATGCGTGCAGATATTAAACGCAATGACAGAGGCGTGGAGAGTGCCCGGGACTCGATTCTGGGCCCTCTAGCAACAACGCGGATGTCATAAAGCGAGACACAAAATTGCCCGTTCTTGCCGTCGGGTCGATGGCGGCGCCAGTGGGGGAGGGGACGACCGTAACAATGAGCTTGTTTCCACGACAACGGATGGAGAGCCGTGAGGAACGATTGCTGGATTGTTTCCGCACGCTGACAGCGCAAATTGGGGAGGAAGTGTGAAAACTAATGAACCGTTTCTGGCAGGGCAAAACGGAACAACGCGGCGGGAGACGATGACGAGGCCTAGGAAGTCGTACGGAACTGACGACCGCATGTGTTTGGAGCCTCAGTCAGGTGAACGGGTCAAAGACCCAACGGAGTTCGTATTACGAAGAGAAATAACTGTTTCGGAAGGCCAACTCCCTCAATTATGGGCCCAACAAGCACTGAACTTCAACCCATTACTTAATAATCAGCGCCACCACGAGCAGGCGGCCAATGAGCGTACATTATTCATAGAACTGCCGTCTGGTGGCGGCAGACGACAACAGCATTACAGAGGCTCCTTTCTCGCGACGCAGCTGAGATCCCAGGGGGGCGATGCCATCAATTATTAAGCCGAAATTAGAAGAATCTGTGTTGCGACACTGCTCGGTGACCCACGAGAAGCGCCATGTTTCGAGCTTGGTTAGAACGCTGGCCGCGTGGAAATATGAACAGTCTTTGAAAGAGGCCGAATATTGAATCACGGCGAGCTGAACCAGCTCCGAAAACGGGTTCACTCAGCGACGTACCAAAACGAAACGATAACATTTGTTTATCAAAACATATTATCAGATACGAACGCAAATCTTAAACCGCGTTACGTTCTGCCAAGTTTACCTGAAATATTGCGTTGTTTTATCAAAAATAATGGATTCCAACAGGAGACAGTAGAAAACAAAAATGCTGGCTTTCAGGTCCCAGCTGACGACATTACGTAAGAAGAGGGTGATAACAGCATCGCCGTAATCCTGACCTGATAACCACGAGAAGGGAAGGGAAGGGACAGTGCGAGCTCGACTTCTCCGAACAAAAGACGCCAGTCCCAACTCCGTATACATTTGCTACACGAACAGGAGTACAGTCACTGAATAAAAGGCAGCGGACGTGAATTTGCAGCTAAACCAGATTTTATAACAGCGAGCAGGAAGATGAGATGGGCGGATCGTGTAACACGCACAAGGCCGCCGGTAAATCTCAACAGAAGATAAACACAAGCTGGAAATGAAGTATCCATTAACGGCGCACTGCGGAGATTTTGTCGAAACGCCACTCCCAGGGTCGCGGGAGGACCCTGCGTCATCTTCTGAGGTTAGGCGTCGGCTCTGTTCGGGATAACCGGGCGGGGTCAGGACGAGGAGGTCAGGCCTTGAAGTGCAGCGTTGAACATGGCGACGATGCGAACTTTCCGACACAACGAAAAAGCATCTGAACTGACTTCACACCGCGATCACATGTCATTCAAATGGGCGTGGCCAGCAATACCAAAACAAAAACTTCCCTGTATAAATAAACCTTGAGGGAAAGGTTAATTCCTCTTCGCATGAGCATTGCGTTCTGACGTCATCGTAAGAGCTTTCTGGGTGATTTAAGGCGCGTGTCATTGCCAACACTTGGCAGGGACCGACATAACACACAAAGACAACTGAGTTACAAATCATTCTTATAACTGGAACTACGTTAAGACGTCATTGATTGCTGAATGTTCAAACGTTCGACTGCACGGAATATTTAACAGTGTGAAGCCGGAGCTCGTCTAAATCATATTCAAGAATTCAGTCCGTACCGCAAAGAAAACACCACACGTAACCATTACAAAGATCAAATGGTTAACGCTGTTCAAGGAAATAAACCGTGTTTACTCTGAGAATCAATCATAGAAAACGCATTTGTACAAAACTGGACGTGATTTAAGGCTGGAATAGGTGGTACCACTGCGTTTTAAAAAGATAAAAATCCCTACTTTGTCGCAAGAAACTGTGATTAATGAAACCTGTCACGTACTGGTAGACGAATGAGGAAAAACGAATCTTGCGGCGATGGAATGGGAGGACGGGAGGTGAACTGGGCTGCCTCAGGATCCTGTAAAAATGCGAACTTTGTTATCAGCGAGGCTGGTCCTTCGGGTTTTAGCTACAGCATCAGTTTCCTTCCAGCATGACTGGCGGGTATCCGTTCAGAGGGCGGTGCGTCGTTAAGTAATCTCTTGGTTCCACTGACGACTCTTTCTAACAGGCATCTGTCACGGCAAGAGTAAGACGCTGTTGTTCATTTCAAACCAAAACCGCCATAACTTGTGATGAGGTACTGAGAATAACCACGAGACGGCTGTACCAATCGCAGAACTGAGAATTTCACAGCTCGTGCGTAACGCGTCCCCCACTGTCTGTTTAAAAACTCTCGTAGTCAGAGGTCTGAATGTTTTGAAGGTCGCCACGAAGCAAGGCACTGGAGTTTATTTGCCTGCCGGACTGAAGAGCCCAATAAATTACGGGGCTGGCCGCCTTGTGTCTGCAACAGAAGAGTGTTGAGATGTTCCATGAACCGACACGGCCCTTGCAACACTCTTCCACCCAAGAGTACCGACGACTACGAGATATTCCTAATTTCCTTGCGATTATGTGGCCGTCTCGTCGGAATGACACTCCAACGGACGTCGCTTGCAGATTTGATGCATCGACACGAAAAACACAGAGCAGTTTAAATGTATTCTGACGTCCTAGGTTTACCACAATCCGCGTACAACAGAAACATCGATGTTTTACGTAATGCCAGTTATTCTAGTGCCACGACATCACACCATGCTTATAAACTTTATAAAATGCCTGTGGAAAATGTTTATTTATCTTCTTGGCTGTTTGAATACATTATTACCATCCTCACAACATGAATTACCCTCCTCGTCCCAGTGCTGCTACAACTGCAGCTATTTTATTACCTGACTCTGGTTCGTGTCACGCACTCCGCCGACCGAAAGCTGAGTCGCTCCATAATTACAACCTCCGAGCAAACAGATGCCATCGCCTGACGTCTGCCCGGGCACCGCCGCTCGAACAGAACCGCAAAATGCCCTTTCCGACTTTCCAGTGGCCGCCTTCCACGTCATTTCACCCAAAATTCGAGCTCTTGGAAATTTCCGTCGTCTGAGAAATGCAGCCAAACCAGGAACCACCCCGCCGAACGGACGGCGCAACGCAATTTTCAATTTGAGTAAAATCTGAAGACGCCGTGTCCCCACAAGAGACGCAGGATCATGTTTCGCCTGGAAGGGGAATCCCAGTGAGTGCTTAGGAAACCGCACGTACTCCAGTGCATGGCGCGATGCCGTATTTCATTGATCGGATAGAAACTGCAGAGAGATGGTCATTGCACCATAAGGCTCGTTTCAATTTTAAAAGGCGGTGGTTATGCAAGGTATGCCAAATTAAAAGGGTGACATTTACCTACCCCGGCATTGATAAAAGTTCATAAAAACTGACCTGATATTTTACACCTGACACCAAAAGGTGAAGCAGTCACAAATATTACAGGACAAAATTCAATCGATAAATGCAGTAAGGTCATTGTAATTATTATTAGTACGTCTTGTTTCGGTTTACAATCATTCCGTGGAAGAGTACGTCGTCCTACTACAGAGTTTAACGCCACAAACCGCACACAGATATGACGTGTCGATATTCAACTGTTGTCTCACATCACATTCTAGCACGCAATTTTTGCTCACGGCATATGAAAATATGTTACAGACACATAAAATATTAAGAGGCGGGGTCACGAAGATCCACGCACCCACGTAAGACGATGATAAGAACTAACCTAGGTCTTGGGGCTTCGTCTACAGTTACCACAGCGACGAGTCGCGACACACGTAAGCAACGCATTTGAACAAGTAGAGCCTAAAACGGACTAGTTTTGATGTCAGCTGTTGAGTCTGTGTAACGCTGAGTTACGTAAGATCGGGTAACGTATGGCGAGGAAGGAGTCGTGACCTGTAACCCCTGGTGTGACCAAGAGGGATTGAGAAAAGCAACGACATTTCTCGAGTACACGTCTTATCTGACGTTCAGACAGGGGAAACAAATCCCACAAAGCGGTCTCCATTCTTCAGGCTTAAAATTGTGATTTTCATCCCTAAGGTCCGTGCTCCAGTGCACAAATCTTCTCAATTATTAAAACAGGCATAAAAGTTTTACGAGGTAACCACCAGCGTCAGCGGCCGTCGTGCCATCTATTAGTAACGCGAGAACCGCTATTGATCCTTCAGTGCCGTGGCGATTGTTTCGGAAACAAAACACAGGCGACACATCAAAATCAAACCGATTCAATTCGCTTGCAGAAAAGTCGCTCCTCGTCGACGAGCACAAAAGTCAAAAGCATCTCCGCTGCTTTTATGAGGCGACAGTTTATTAATACAAAAAGGAGCCATTGCCCGAGAGAAGTCGTGGGAGGCGGAGGGTTCATGAACGCGCCCATTAACTAACTCGGCTTTATGCTTACGGAAGTGCCATCCTGCGGGCCGGATTGCAAAAGGAAGGCAGCCTCGGGCAGAGGCGAGAGCTGCTGTGCTCCTTTCTGTCCGTCAGCATCTTGTATCTTGGGAAGAGATGAACGGATTAAGGCAAAATTTGGGGCGCACTGTACACGTTGTTTGAAACGTAAGTTCATAGAATTTCTAAAACAACGGTTCTGAGTACAAAACAACAGCTGACATAAAATTTATATTCGCAAATGTCATCTGCACTCAACAACTCAATAAAAGGAGGAGGAGTCTATGTATCTGCAGATGCCTCTGACGTGACTGTCAATTTTCGATTCTGTACCACTTTTAGCCACTGGAATGCTTATTATTATTTTTGAACAAAAGAGGAAGTGAGGAGAAACATCTTAGTGGCTGCGCAATCACTACGAACTTACATCCATCCGACCTGATGATGGCCGCATTTGCCCGAAACACGTAGCACTTGTGTAATCAGTGGAACAGTGAGTGCGTTGAAGTTACTGCAAGGAAGAACAAATTCTGAAATTCTCATCGGGCTCACGTGTCGCGGGGTAGCAAAGAACGCAATTCGAAAAATGAAGTGAAAAATTTCCATTCTCGGTTGATGGCATCACGCCACTGCTGCAGAGCTGCCAACATGACTCATAGCCGCAGTGTGGTCGATACGACCCCCAAAGCCACTACGTTACAACGGGTTCAACTCAACTACAGGGCAGCCCCACCGGGGGGGGGGGGAACACCCCCCCCCCCCCCCCCCCACAACCACCTCAACGTACGTGCGACAGGCGCGACCAGCCAGCACGATGTCCCACCTTCAGACGCAGTCGGCTGTGATGGTAGCACTGCTACAGAAACGTGCCATTAAACCGAACATGTGACGTCTGGTACAGTCTGCTTCGTTTTACGGGTTGCGTCTAACAGCAAGAAAAAAAAAACCTTGTTTAGAAGTTCACGGTCTCTCTGGTCGTAAGCGAAGTCCTCGCGTTCACAAGAGCCAACCACTGACCCCTACTCTTCGCCAACGAAATTCAATCCACATCCTCACAACCTATTTACCTACGATACATTTTAATATTATTCTCCGTTCTACGTCCATTCCTTGGAAGTCACGCAGGGCACCACGTACCGGGCCCACAAGAAGAGCAGCAGGTTTGCCAACTGACCACTGCAGAAAATCTGTTTCTGCTCGTAAGACGCTGAGCCGAGCGCGTCGTTAGCCTTGCAGCTGCACGACGCAGAGCACGCCAACTGGGTCACAGCATTCGACGGGACGTAGGTCACTCCGTTGCATTAACACACTTGGTAACTCCTTGAATATGTGCCAGTGTGCAAAGTTTCTTGCACATTCTGCGGGGTATTACCACGGAAACGCAATCCCTGCCTCAAATCCGGTGGGCGGAGGCAGCGTCTACGAGAAAGTACAATTCGTCCCAGTCGGAATCAACTTCAGACACACAAATTTCGCTGTCAGTTGTCAGCGACGCCAAGATTCTTGCTGACAACTGAGTCACCGAGAACCGCGAAGTGCGAAACAATTGCCAATCACTTAAAACGCAACGTTTAGTCGACACTCCCCACTAATCGATTTCCGACCTCTGGTGCTGTTGCTATAGCAACCAAACACCGACCGCATTTTTATTTGAGGTCGATTCACATAAAGCCTCTTCGGCTAATTAAAAGCATGCCAGACAATTTGCATATGCTGGCAGGATGGTTCCGCGGGACGACCGCCTGTTCTTCGGATTTCCCACAAACGACGTCAGGTTCGTCCAGCGAGACACGTGACACCGGCTTAACGTTTACTGAACTACGGCTAAGTCAATCGAGGAATATGCAGTGGAAGGAAGAGACAACCAGTCAATTGATGAACGCCTGCAAAATTGTGGGTAGGCAACCAAACGTACCAAAAATAACCGCAACTCAAAATACAGAACTGATAACTATGGAAAAGGTGTTGTAGGAATATTCTGCAGTACAAGGACATGCAGACAAGTTGCGGGCGACCGCAAGAGTACAAATTACAATTCTTCGCATGAAATCTTTTAATAACAGCTGTTCATTGCAATTCGTTCCGGTGCCAAATTTCAAGAAAATCCATTGAACAATTTCGGAAACTAAACAGACAGGGCTTTGTGTTTGCGCAAACAGCACGTAAAAGAATTCGCGCGAAACGAGTAGTTACCTCAAACGGTCATGAATACGGTCACTCAGATTCAGAAAAGCCAACCAATCTAAGAGTCACCTTGTCAGCGACTAGCTAACTCCATGGACCAGTGTCTTCAGAAGCTGAAAAATCCCTCTTTTACGTAACGTGAAGTCACAACATCCCGCCCACTATAACCAGATAAGTTCAGTCCACATGCCCAAACCCCTGTTTCCCTAAAACCATTTAACTTGTTCACCTTCAGGAAATCCAACAGAAAATCTGCACGTATTACGCGCCGCCACCCCCCCGCCCCGCCCCGCCCCATTCATCTCATCCTCCTCGATCTGATGCCGGTCAGTAACCCAGGTGCAGGTTCAGTTGAACTCTGCCATCTGTCGGCGAACTGATTCTGTCCTGCCCCGACACTGCACACACCGCAATGAACACGCTTCCTTCTTGCATACATTTCTGTTAGAAGGTCCCCAGGCGTTGCCCGCTCGTCCTTCCCCTCTACGCTGTTGCCGTCGGCTGTGTTCAGAAGCACGATTTTACGAAGGCTCTTACACACTCTCTCGTTGGCTACGGTCCCTTGCCAAACGCGATAACTGATCCCTTTGAGCCAAGTGGCAAATACAAGAACCACCCGATTTAACTAACAAACGCAAAAGCCGGATTTTGTGCGCTTCGTACGATTTTCGGCGTAAAAACCCATTATTTCCTTAAACGGGGTCAACCAAATGCGATGGCGGAGCGTGGCGTTCTCTTTGCGGTACGGACTGAAATCTTGCTTCTGCTTCGAAGGGAGAACGAGTACGCGCGGACAGATCCGAATCGGAGGCGCTGCATTATCGCCGCCCAGAGCGAGAACGAAAAGTGTCATTGATGCGCCCAGCCAACGTTACTGCCTCAATCTCGAATTCGGGCTACAACGCCTTTAACCAAGGGTCAGAGATGTTACGTGATGAGAGGACCGGCGTTCAAACGCGGGTCTTGTGCTGTAGGCAGATTCCTGCAATTATTCTAGCAGTGACGGATATTTTGGCCTGGCTCTGAGGCCAAAATAGCAGCCACCGTTAAGCGTGCAATATAAATTGTTTATTTGGCATTTATATGCGCGATGAACACAGAAACTCTATTAGACCCTAGGAGGGAGATCGGTCCAGAAACGTGCGCAGAGGCAACTAGGTAGGCCTACTTGCGTGTTCGTCTCTCGTCACCAGAGCTTAAAATAATCACATATTAAATCCTCAAAACTCAAATATTTGGGCACAGAGCAACAAACAGAAATTGCAACCAGGTGTTTCATTTGCTCTCAATTACGAATAGAATTCGAATTCGTTACCGTCGACCACATTTAATCTACGCAACCGGAAAACTGTGATTAAATGAGCAATCAGTTGACCGATCAACACAGAAAGATTTTGCCTTGAGGGAAACACAGGGACGAGGAAAGACGGGAAGATTTTGGGGGGGAGGCGATCTGGGTGTGTGGGGGGGGGGGGTACTTCGCATGCAGACACATGCTTTGCATGTCTGTAAAAGTTAAGGTAAAACCAGATTGAGGGTGTCTGAGGACAATGAGGCTTGCACCCAAGAGAGACTAAGTTAAGGGAGGCAGGAGGTAACCATAATTCTTCTCCTCATTAAATGTTACCAAAGATGGAGGGAGAGATGACAAATGTGTAAAAAATTTTGGTGGTCATATAACGTGAAAGGAAAAGACCCTTTGGACATCCTGCTTGCAAAGAGCCAATATCCATACCTAATGTTAAAGGAATTCCAGGAACATCAATACCAAATTTGTAACATGGACATAGTTTCCTCCTTGAAATTAAATATTTCTCAAATTTTCCTTATAAAGAAATGTCTTGCTTCACCTCTCCTCTTATTTAGGTGTTTGTTATTTTTTGGTTTATCCAACAGTAACTCACACTACGTAGTATGAAATTATATGCTTATAAATAAAGAACTGCAAAGGATATAATTTAAGGTACTACCCAGGCATTTGTATGGGGAGGGGGGGGGGGGGTTATTGGAAATTAAAAACAG